CAATTAAATAGAACACTCAAACACAACAATTAAATGCTGAAATATTAGTTACTAGTGCATATTACTAGTGCAATGCAATAGACATATTATACACAGTATATGGGGTAATGCAGTAAAACACTGATTATATTTGTTGGAAGCAACATTTCGAAATCAGCCCATAAGAATCTATTTGAGATGTTTTTCCAGCGACGCTGCTGCAGGCATCAGGGTCTAATTTAAACTGCCCTCTCTGATTGGATCATTATAATTCCTCTTTTGTCACTGATAACTTCTGAATATATAAACAAATTATGTGAAAGTTTAACGCAATGCATTGCGAGAAAGTACAGATATTTGCTGAAAGATGTAGTTAAGTACAGTAACAAAGTAAATACATCTTACATCCCACCACTGTGAGAGACAAAGAAAGTATTGTCGCTAACTCCGGCAGAGATCACAGACACAGAGTCTGGATCTGTTTCACTGACAATAGAGACAAACTAAGCTCTTTAATGGAGTTATTTTCCTGTAATTTACTGTTTGCACCCGGTTGTACCTCTTGGTGGTCCTGTTCTATGGTGTTGAAGCTTTGGCAGATTTAGGTTTAAATCCCTAAAATGATGATAAAAATCTCTATATGTGAAAAAGGATGATGCTCACTGATGATTTGTCCTTAAGATATATTGCAGAGCTAAATCCCACATCATGAGCAGGAACCTCAGAGAGCTCAGCTTCTGCTTGTCAGGAAGTCAAAGACGAGCTGGGATGTGTGTGTACGCTGTGATTAAATGTCAGAGCCCTGTGATCTTCTCTCATATCATTCTCTCTACACAACGTCATAACATTTGCCCTTCTGTGTGTATTTCTGCTGGTCCTCCTTAAAATGCTGTCAGCAGGAAGACAAGTCAATCCTATTTTCTGAGCTTCAAAGAAAGAGAGCTTTGATTTCCTGAAGGCCAGGATCTGAATATGATCACACATATGAGTTTGAATTTGACGCGGGTTAGAAATCTTCCTATGTGTTCTCTTTCAGCTGGACAGGACAGAAGTGATCAAGAGCAACTTGCACCCGGTCTTTGCCAAGGTTTTCTCTTTGGACTACTACTTCGAGGAGGTTCAGAAGCTGCGGTTCGAAGTCTACGACATCCATGGCACCCACAGCATCGGCACCCGGGACGACGACTTCCTCGGAGGGGTGGAGTGCACCCTGGGCCAGGTAGGCAGATGCCACTGACTTGCAGCAGTTGTGTTTTCCAGAGAACGCCATAGACTGCTGGTTCACTTCAAATTCTACTCCATTAAAACTGTAAATGCGTCTTCTGCCTCTGTCCGTGATGTTGCCAGTAAATAAACATGATGCTGTGTATATATATGCATAGTGTTGCTCTACACTGCTCTTCACAGCTGAGGACTGAAAGCGTTGTGCTTATCTCGCTTCTTGCAGATCGTGGCCCAAAAGAAGATGGTGAAGCCTTTGTTGCTGAAGTATGGGAAATATGCCGGCAAATCCACCATCACAGTAGGTTTCTGTCCTCATGACCTTACTGCTCTGACGCATGAAATTTGTCTGGATTGCTCGACACATTGTCCTCACTGAGCACTTTAGCTCCATTCCTGCTCAGCATTAGAGTTCACCCAGGGAACACAGCAGGTCCGTATGAGACATTCTGCACGTTTAAGACATCACATGTGTCTGATGTGAAAAAGCAGAGCAGCTGGTTCATTAACCACCATCTCACAGTTTACAACCCAGCGGTGGAAGAATATAATAAACAAGACAAACTCTGGTTCACTCTGCCTTGTTTGAGAAAACACACAAGAGTCTCTTCTAATTAATTTTTACTGCAGTCTAGATGCTTTAAGGTTTCATCTTGTTCAGTTAATCTTATACTGTATATGTACAGAAAGTAGACATAGACACATGTAGCACTATCGTTGATCGTCTTATATAGTTGAGCTTTTCATGATTTTGTGTCCATCCCCTGTACTTTTGTTGTAAGTTTAAGCTCCTTGAACTCAGCATCCATCCATCTATCCATCCATCCATCCATCCATCCATCCATCCATCCATCC